ATTGCGAAGTGACACTTTTTTCAGTTTCCTACGTTACCATGATACCTTGCACTAAACAATGCGCGAAGTAAAACAGTGCGCGAAGTACCTACTTCGCGCATTGTTACGTAAAATATATGAGATATTTATATTTCAACCTCATAGTCCTCAATCGAGCAAACATCCACGAAATCATTTATTCCTGGATGTCCATCAATAACTTTGTTCTATCTCTTGAAACGCACGAAAGGAAATTCCTATTTGGTATGCTCGTGGAATATCGTGCGTAACTAGGGAAAGGGGAAGGCCTTTTAAGCCAGTTCAACACTATTTTTTATGTCAAGCTAAGCATATTTTTACATTAGAACTATATTTTTTGACGTTCGTAGAAAAAATGTTGTTTGCAACTCGAGCGCGAAATACTTTGGTCATCTCGACTATTTTTTTAACTCGGCTTCGCCTCTTTGAAAAAATCAGATCTCGATCACCAAAGTAGCATTTCGCGCTCTAGATACAAAAATAACTATTTTGTCTCACGACTGTTTTGTAAAGTGAAATAATCTATTGAATCTCGTTTCGTGAATACTATTTATCAAAAACTTTACTATTCATTACAAAGCTCTTCCGCCATATTGAATCCACTATCTCGAATTTTCTATAATTTTGTCCATTAATCTTTAACCTCGAAAACTCCCAGATACCAATTTTGAATAGAATCCGATTATAAATTACAAAACTCGTCCGCCATATTGGATCCACCATATAGAATTTTTGACGAAGGAATCATAATCTCCGACCATGTAAACCCCCAATTACCAATCTTGAATAGAATCTGATCATAATCACAGAACTCGTCATATTGGGTTCGCCATCTCGAATTTACTAATTTTGAAGAATTTTTGAACTTATTATCCCATATTTCAGATGAATACAATAAAAAATCAAATATCATGAAAATTGTTCCAGCCGTTGTTGAATCGAAAATGGTGTAACTATCACGAATTTGGACTTCCTTGTATATAGACAGATCTAAACATTCTAAACAATCTAAATTCATCGATTGTTTACCCTTAAAACAGTGCCCCATATCCAAATGCATCTTCAGCTTCTAAACTCTGGAGTTCTCGATCAATTGAATTTCCAAAATTTCTACTTTCTCACACTCATGTCCATTTATTTATTGTCAACTCACGTTCTTGAATTTTCCAGCTTCACATAGGTAGGCACAATAACACATCATGAGTAATCATAATTCGAGCACAATGGAAAACTAATAAAATAACATAATACCATAGATTCATAGATTAAAGATTGAAATCTCTTATACATACCAAGGAAGTCTTATACTGAAAATAATTGTGGTTGCAGTATCGTAGATTAATAATAATCTACATATACCTACCAATATATTAGAAATCCAACAAAAACTAACATTTGACAACTCCGCTTCTATACGCTGAATGCCATGTTACAGAAATCTGTAAAAAATCGAATTTGCGACCACGCGCGGTAATTCGCAATAGCGGCGATAGATGGTAAAAATTCGGGGTCCCAACTAAATCCCAAACAAGCGTTACTGTCTGAATGCATGGGCGGTGTATATCTAGGGGAGTCGTTAATCTATGACCAGAGTATACTTTACAGAATTCAGATCCTTATATTCGTACGGAAGGCGATATATTGATATCCTTTCCAGATTCTCAAGAAAACAGATAGACAGATATTCACCTTTATGTCTGTTCTCGTCTGTTGTTGTTGTTTATCGGCCTGTCACGTCTTCGTTGAGATAGTTGATCAATTGATTAATTGATGAATTACAAAAATATATCGCCTTCCAGTTATGAATGTTGAAAACAATATCCAGACTTTTGATAGAATCATGTTCTATGTAGGTCTCACGATTCAAATTTGAAATTGATCCTTAGTTTTAGATCCGAGCAGCACATCGTCTGGCCTCCAAGGTCCTCAATATAACCCACGTACGTAATTGAAAATGTGGAAGATGCCTACTGGAGAAAACACTATTCGGAAAGAAAGCGGATATTTAGCAATTACCGACGTTAAATATATTACTCAGGTATGTCTCAGATTCAACATCCATGTAATTCATCTAATGATATTTATTTTCTGATATGAATGTACTCCGATTGATATGTGATGTTCTGTTGCAGATCAGAGAAGCAGTATTTGATACTTGCCACTCAATCGGAGAAAACCATCCAGTCCATACGAATCTTCAAATTTGAAATTGATACTTAGTTTTAGATCTGAGCAGTACATTATTGTTTGGCCTTCAAGGTCCTGTATATAACCCACGTAATTGAAAATGTGGAAGATGCCTACTGGAAAAGCCACTTTTCGGAACGAAAGCGGATATTATGTAGAAATTCAGTTACGGACGATGAAAATATCATTCAGGTATGTCTCAGTTGAATGTACTTCGATTAATACGTGATGTTTAGTTGCAGATCCGAAAAGCAGTGTTTGATACTTGCCACTCAATCGGAGAAGACCACCCAGTCAAGACCAACCGAACAGAAGATCCGCAAAGAGAACTGACCAGAGTATACTTTACAGAATTCAGATTCTTATATTCGTACGGAAGGCGATATATTGATATCCTTTCCAGATTCTCAAGAAAACAGATAGACAGATATTCACCTTTATGTCTCTATGGAAACACGACAGGTACCCTTACGAGGGGAGAGTATCAACTCGGCGTTTATAAACCCTCTCTGCAAAGGAGGTAGGCGCATGGTGGGTTAGGTATATACAGTGTTCTTCATTGCAGAGAAAATTGTTGTTTATCTGCCTGCCTCGTCTTCATTGAGATAATTGATGAATTACAAAAATATGTCGCGTTCCAGTTACGAATGTTGAAAACAATATCCAGACTTTTCATAGATTTATATTCTATGAAGGTCTCACGATTCAAATTTGAAATTGATACTTAGTTTTAGATCCGAGCAGTACATTATTGGTTGGCCTTCAAGGTCCTTAATATAACTCACGTAATTGAAAATCTGGAAGAGGCCTACTGGAAAAGCCACTATTCGGAAAGAAAGCGGATATGAAGCATTTCAGTTACGGACGATGAAAATATCATTCAGGTTTGTCTCAGTTGAATGTACTTCGATTTACATGTGATGTTTAGAAGCAGTGTTTGATACTTGCCACCCAATCGGAGGAGACCACCCAGTCGAAACTAACCGAACAGAAGATCCGCAAAGAGAACTGACCAGAGTATACTTTACAGAATTCAGATTCTTATATTCGTACGGAAGGCGTATTGATATCCTTTCCAGATTCTCGAGAAAACAGATAGACAGATATTTACCATTGTTTGGCCTTCAAGGTCCTTAATATAACCCACGTAATTGAAAATGTAGAAGATGCCTACTGGAAAAGCCACTTTTCGGAAAGAAAGCGGATATGTAGCAATCCAGTTACAGACGATGAAAATATCATTCAGGTATGTCTCAGTTGAATGTACTTCGATTAGTATGTGATGTTCAGTTGCAGATCCGAAAGCAGTGTTTGATACTTGCCACTCAATCGGAGAAAACCACCCAATCAAGACGAACCGAACAGAAGATCTGCAAAGAGAACTGACCAGAGTATACTTTACATAATTCAGATCCTTATATTCGTACGGAAGGCGATATATTGATATCCTTTCCAGATTCTCAAGAAAACAGATAGACAGATATTCACCTTTATGTCTCTATGGAAACACGACAGGTACCCTTACGAGGGGAGAGTATCAACTCGGCGTTTATAAACCCTCTCTGCAGAGGAGGTAGGCGCATGGTGGGTTAGGTATATACAGTGTTCTTCATTGCAGAGAAAATTGTTGTTTATCTGCCTGTCTCGTCTTCGTTGAGATAGTTGATTAATTGATGAATTACAAAAATATATCGCGTTCCAGTTATGAATGTTGAAAACAATATCCAGACTTTTTATAGATTCATATTCTATGTAGGTCTCACGATTCAAATTTGAAATTGATCCTTAGTTTTAGATCCGAGCAGCACATCGTCTGGCCTTCAAGGTCCTCAATATGACCCACGTACGTAATTGAAAATGTGGAAGATGCCTACTGGAGAAAACACTATTCGGAAAGAAAGCGGATATGTAGCAATTACCGACGTTGAATACATTATTCAGGTATGTCTCAGATTCAACATCCATGTAATTCATCTAATGATATTTATTTTCTGATATGAATGTACTTCAATTGATATGTGATGTTCTGTTGCAGATCAGAGAAGCAGTATTTGATACTTGCCACTCAATCGGAGAAAACCATCCAGTCCATACGAATCTAACACAAGATTCACAAAGTGAACTGACCACTTACCAGAGTATACTTATGGTGACTAGTTATGTTATATACTTGGTATATTATGATTTGATAGTCTGACATTGATGTGACATTGTTATAATCAATGTCGGCTAAATGTACCAATTTTGAGATTGATATCTTATTAAATACGCGAGTAATCAGAAAAAAACTGTTTTTAATTTCCAACTTTGACACCCTGTATATCGAATATGAAGGGCTAAAATGAAAAATGGTATTTAGAAACTCATATTGTTTTTGTTCAAGGAATATATGGTTAATGGATTGACCTCCTTTTAGCGGACCCCTGTATTATAGAATATGTATCTTTGGGAAATAAATATATATCTATCTAACACCCTGTGTGTCAATCAAACTGATATGGAAAGTTTTTCATGCATTATAGTTCTTTTAGTGTGCCTACAAAATTTCAGATCGATATTAATAGACATTATTGAGATATACGAAAAAATAAAATTCAATTTTGACGCCCTGTAGCAACTAACCGGAGCGTTTTTGTATAATAGTGAGTTTGGTTCAGTCATCTCACTTCAATCTCAGGAGTCTATATGACATAATTTTGAACAGACCTTTCAGGGTCTGTTAAAAAAGGGCGAACATTTTTTTTTCGACATAAAATCAGATAGGGATTTTTGAATCGAACCCCAGTTTTATTTACCTTGGCCATATCTTCCTCTCGTCCTTCACTCATATTCGCCGTCGATAACATGTCTCTCAGAACTGCCAATAAATTGGTGACAGCTAAAGTTGGTGATAGGTCTCTAGGCGGTGCTTCAACTTTCACCAATTTATTGGCCACTTGTTGCTGCAACGTCCCAAAAAAGTTGTTTTCGCAAAGGCTTTGCAGGTTGGCCAGAGTCTCTCGCACCAGACCTTCATTCACAACCTGAAAATAATGAATATCCATCGTAACTACGAAATAACCACAATGCTCAAAGTGGAATGAAATGTTGAATAAATACAAAACGCTCAAAGTCATTTCAACACAATAATAATAATAATAAATAATAATAATAATAATAATAATAAATTTTATTATCCCTTCAGACAATCACAATTGTATAGGACTAGTCAGACATCAGATGAAAAAAATACTAAATCTAAAATTAAAATTAAAATTTAAAGTAAAAACTCTTGGTAAAAAAGTGGACAAATATTGAACTTTAGTAATCACATATCACATTTTATAAAATCCCTGTACACAGTAAATAGATTTCTCTAATAAAAACAATTTCAACTTATTTCTGAATATTACTAAGGTTTTACAACTTTTCAATTCCATGGGCAATACATTGAACATACGAAGGGCTGTTGAAGTGGGTGAATTATAAGATAACATATTTTTGCAATAAGGTATGTGAAAATCCATTTTCTGTCTAGTATTCAAAGAATGAATATTTCCATTTTTCAAAAATCCATCTTGGTTAGCAAATGCATATGCACATAATTCTAATATGTATAAAGCAGGTAATGTCAATATTGAGAATTTTCGAAAAATGTCTCTTAATTTCTTCTGGGCGATGAATACATCTTTGGATGAAGAAGATCCTCCCCATATGACAACCCCATAACGTAAGCGTGACTCGACTTGAGCATGATATAACATTATTAGCTGATTTTCATTCAAAATTGAACGGATATTCTTAAACATATAATTTAAGGAATTCAATTTAGAAACAACTGTCTCACACTGAGTCTTCCATGTTAAATTTTCATCGATATGAATATCTAAGAATTTTACAGATGGTCGAGATGTAATTAAATCATTATTCATATTCAAATCCAGATTTTCAATATTTTTCTGTCTATTATGGAAGCGTATGCAGTGGGTTTTCTCAGAATTTAGGTGCAATGAGCGTTGAGATCATGTAACACTTTATTACATTTTTTCACTAAAGCGAAGTATCATCAGCGTATAGCGTGAAGAAAACTTTTGGAGAAATTGAATCAATATTATTCACATATAGTAAAAACAAGATCGGGCCTAGAACTGACCCCTGGGGGACACCCACATCAATATCTACAAAATTAGAGGCATAGCTTCTTGTACAATTTCCAGAAATATTATTTATACTACAATTTGCTCATATAAACGAATACTGATACAAGTGATGCTTTCCTGAATGCCTATTGATTTCGATTTCGCCAGACCACGCTAGACACCTACATACCAGTTTCGAGCTCTTTGATTCTCATCAGTGCAGGGCAGTCTCCAGCCAGCAGGCCTAAGACCGCCGACTAAGCGTAGCGTACCCAAACAAAAATCAATTCGGCATTATATTCCCTCAGAGGTGTCCTCCATAGACAATATGAGTGCAACGCCATCTGAGTAGAAAAGAAGGAGAGAAACACTGGACTGAAATTCCCATACGGGAATTATGTCCATAGGACGTTCGAATTTGGTACCACGGACGTCCATTGGACGTCTGTGGGACACACAAATGTAAGGGATGTCCCTGAGACAACTATGGAATACTTAAATCCAACAGTATTTCTCATCAAGCATGACTTTTGTTGGTTCTCTCTGAGAACAGATCTTGCATAACTGATGAGGACATCCAGTTGAGTTGATGGTCCTTAAAAGGTCTCCAATAGATACTGAAGAAGGTTTTTAAGGGGCCCCATCAAAGAAGTTTGACGGAAGTCCCTAAGGGACATTTCGAATATGATACTGGATATATTAAGGGCGTCCGTGTAGAGATATTTGAAAGAATGTACTGTTGTAACTTCTTGCAAAACTCGGTGAGAATATGAATTTGAAAATTTCTGTGTTAATTATTTATTTTATTAATAACAACTGAACTAAAAAAACATTTTCATCTCCATGACATAACATAAGAACACATACATGTTGAAAAGATCAAAGATTGATGATGTTTTTAAATGTTCTTTCGTTCAGGTGGCCAAATTTGTAATGCCATTCTACTATTGTTGATTTTGGCATTTCTTCAGTACTACTTGCAGTCGGGCGTTTTCCGGTCCATATTTTATGAGGTGTCTCCCCTTTCAAACATCTTGTTGGACATCGATTCCTCACGTAATTCGCCATGTTTATCGCCTCTCCCCAAAAACAGTTAGGTAGCTTGGATTGTATCAAATTACATCTTGCCGAACGAAAAAACAGAACTTTAGTTGAAATGGCAAGATGTAATTTGATACAATCCAAGCTACCTAATTGTGTTTGGGGAGAGGCGATAAACATGGCGAATTACGTGAGGAATCGATGTCCAACAAGATGTTTGAAAGGAGAGACACCTCATAAAATATGGACCGGAAAACGCCCGACTGCAAGTCATTTTAATATATTTGGTTGTAAGGCATATGTCCTAAATAAATTACCCTGTAAGGGAAAATTTGAACCACGTTCAAGTGAATGTATCTTCGTGGGATATTCAAATGAAAGTAAAGCATATCGTCTTTATAATCCAGATACCAAGAAAATTATTGTCAGTCGAGACGTCAAATTTACTCAAAATTTCTCTTCTGAAGAATATGATGAATTCATTTCGGAAGAAGTTTTGTCAAAATCATCAAATGATAGTACGAAAAATCATTTGGAATTAACTGTCGCTGATGTTGAAACCAAAACGGTAAATGAAAATATCGATGAAAACGTAGAAATAGAAAACTTGAACATTCATGAAGAGGAAGAAGAACTACCAGAAAATGAAGGTGAAAACGAAATGACCAGAGGACGTGGAAGACCTACAATCATCAGAACAGGATGTAGAGGTAGACCACGAAAACAATACAAGATGGTAACAAACACGACACAACATGATGATGACCAGTTTGCTGAATTCGCGGGAATGGGTCAAGTCGCTGATACAACATGTACCATGTGGGACATTTCATGGTTGTTTAGAAGGGACATTATATAAGAGCTACAGTCATGCCAGAATATGTACTACTTGAGACATCCGATAACATTCAAAAATAAATCCCACGAGGGACATGCCAGGGCGTCATTGCATGGTCATTCTACAATATGTATCACGTGGGACGTCTAAGGAATGATATTTCTAGGATATTTGAAATGATGTACCAGCTGGGACATTCCATGGACGTCCTTGTTCGGACATTGCATGAGAAACAAAGAAAAATGGATTCGTTGAAAACTAATTTTATACGGGTGGGTGCTCCAGTCTTAAGTATGTCACACAAGTATTTCAGTGATCTTCAACCACTCCTTTCATATTATATATCGACTATGTCTCTATTTTTCTACTACCCAAGCGATAAAAAAGATAATATTATCAATTTTTCGTTTCTCATAGTTTATTAATTTCTTCATGATTTTCATTTGAAAACCTAATACTATTTCGGTAAGCTCACCTTACTAATGCACTTTCTATAGTACCTCAATAAATTCACAATGGAATAAAGAACGGGAGCCTGAGAGGGTACATTCAAAATTTTTTCCACCCTCATCTTCAATGGCTGACAAAGTCCTTCACATATTACTGTTAGTGCTTCTCTCACCATATTATCTACATCTGTAATGATAATAATAATTGTTAGTAGTATTTGATGACTGTTTTGCTATTGTCCATTACAAAAAATAATTTCACATAATTTATGTATTTCTGGAATATTTTTGAGAATGGCTTCAAGACTTTAATTTTGTGTTTTAATAAAATTTTCTCATGATGTATTTGAAGTTGAATACCGTACCGAAAACCACCTAACGTTTGATTTTTTTCGGACCTGTCTTTCTTTGATATAATTTGTATTTCAAGATCAAGGCTCATTCATTTACGAGATCGAACTTGGTCCTATATGGAGCGTGCGCATTAAGGACCTCTCATATACAGGGTGAGTCATTGAAATGGGAGTGAGATAACGGCTTAGCTGTTTGAGATAGATGAATAAAATTTTTTGTGATGGTCTAGGCTCATGAGCAACACATTTCCAAAATATTTCGCTTTATACAGGGCAGGGTTCGCCTGATTTAAATCATTTGATTTAAATCACGATTTAAATCAATGATTTAAATCAAGTGATTTTTTTATTTTATTCACTGAATAAAATAAAAAATGTGAAATCAGAAATAACATTTATTTATTTTATAAAATATACCTACTCAAAATACAAATTATACTAATACAAACTGCAAATATAACTATATTCGAGACTATATTCTTAATATTGAAAAAAAAAAATAGATATTTTCAAAAAAATGCAATGTTAATTTTCATTTTCATTATAGTATTTGTACAAAAATACTAATTTTCCCGCTTTCTCCACTCCTAATTTATTTCGTAAATTGGAGTGAACCAATCCAAATGTAGAAAATACTCTCTCCACCGAAGCGGACGAGGAGACAGCACATAAAAATTGTTTCAGAATAGGAAGAAGTTTAGCAACTTCAGGAATATTCTTTTGTGAAACCCACCACTGTAAGGCAGGGTTGGGATTTCGCAAGGTCTGACAAGAATAAACCAATACAAGATATGTCAAAACAGGAAAATGCTATTTGTTATTATTTGCGTTTGTATGTAAAGATACATAGGTACTCAAAATGGATCAAAACATATCGATTATTATTCAAAATGAAAAAAAAAAACTTAAACAATCACGTTTTCTTTGATTTTTTTGATTTTTTTAATAAAAATCACGCTTTTTGAATTTTTTTAAAAAATCATAATTTTTTCCAACCCTGATACAGGGTGACTCAAAAATGCGTGACGTATCAAAGTTATACTTTTTCTTATGGGGCACCCTGTATTTTATTGCATTTTCGGATTCTCCTTTGTGAGCTGAATTCATCAAAGCATCACACTTGGGGTCTAGCGAGAATGATTAAAGAGATATAGGGTGTTCAAAATCGAGATTTTTCAACTTGAGGATTTTTTTTCGCATATTATCGCATTATGTTCGTGGAAGCGATGGTTAAATGTTCTCCCTTTCTGACCAATGTACAGGCCGAGTTATTCATGTCGTTCCACTATTGGCATATCAAAAATAGTGAATGATATGAAGTTGGTTAAATTAGACAAAAGTTGTCTATTTCAGTGAACAAAGAAACAGTGCGTTCAAACCAGAAATATCACGAACCGATGTAGGTGCATACTACAAGCGTTAAGTTGTCTCAGTTGTCAGCAGACCGAGAATAGCTGATGGTGCCTGGTGGACCGAAACAGTACCGTCTCACTTTTACTGACAATAATTGTTAGTTAAGAAATCTAGTTCTTTGAATAACAAAGTTTTCAATATATCGAAGACTGAAACCTTTGGCACGATAATACACTACACTGTTTTAGCACTAACCAAACCGATTTTTTAAAAAGAACTCTAGAAGAATCCCAATCCCGTTCAATCCCAAGTATACGAAGGGACTTGATAAGGTTTTCAAAGACTTAGGTTTTGAGAGCGTTCATCAGTCTGGGTCTGAATTAGGTAATTTATAAGTCAATCCGAAAGATGAAGTGGACACACTTGAAAAATCGGGAATATATGAAATAAGTTGTAATGATTGTGATAAAACTTATATAGGTCAAACCAGGCGACCCATAAAAACAAGGTTCAAAGAACACATAGCACGTTTAAAATATGGTAGGTTAGATAAATCGTGTGTAGCCGAACATATGTTCAAACACAATCACAACACACATATTACTAACCTCAAATTAGTTGAGCTAATAATATATTGTTGGTTTGGTTAGTGGTAATACAGTGTAGTGGAAAGTTTTCAATGGCTACAGACACTCAAATTGCGTAGCCCTGTAAGACCAAAGATTTTGGGCTAATCTAATCTATTGGGTTAGATAGGACTATCCACATCATGGTGGAGCATTATACAAACAATTGAAGCCACACTCTACTATTGAACATACCAAACGAACAGGGCAGGAAGAAAGTCCTAGTCAACTCCACCAAAACTATACTTGATTCAACATTGGAATTGGGACATGTTTCAAAGCTTCAAAGCTGGACTGTCCGGTTTTCCGAGCCGAGCAATGTTGAAAACATTTTTAATTATGATGATATTAATAATTTGACAACGGTGATCCGCATTCAATTGCAGACCCTTCATTTTTATTAAAACAATTTTTAATATGTAAATTACATTCTGGTTCTTCGTCATGTGGAATAGTTTTCCCCAGAACATTACTTCCTGTAAAAAATAATTTTTGCTGATGATGATGCTTTGAAGCTTCGAAACATGTCCTAATTCCAATCTATACTAATATTATAAGGAGGAAATATTTGATTGTTTGTTTGTTTGTTTGTATGTATTGAATAGGCTCTGAAACTACTGGATCGATTTGGCTGAAAATTGGTGGGGAGGTAGCTTAGAACCAGGGGAAGGTTATAGGATACTCTTTATCCCGGTACCATTAGGAAATTAAAGATGGCGGATCTAATATATCGGACGAGTTTTGTAATTATGGTCCGATTCTATTCAAAATTGGTATCTAGTGGTTTTCGGGGTCGGAGAATATGATTCTTTCGTCAGAATTTGAAAATTCGGGCGGAATTTGGAAATTCAAGATGGCGGAACCAATATGGCGGACGAGTTTTGTAATTATAATCCGATTATTTTCAAAATTGGTACCTAGGGGTTTTCGTGATCGGAGACTATGATTCCTTCGTCAAAATTAAGAAATTCAAGATGGCGGATCCAAAATGGCGAATTTAGTAATCAGGATCCGATTTCATTCAAATTTGGTATCTGGTGGTTCTCGGGGTTGGAGATTATGATTCTTTCGTAAAAATTAGGAAATTCAAGATGGCAGACCCAATTCTCTTCGAAATTGTTATCTGGGTGTTTTCGGGGTCGGAGATTATGATGCTTTTGTCAAAATTTGGAAAGTGCGGGATTTGGAAATTAAAAACGTTGGAACCAATATATCGGACGAGTTTTGTAATTATATACCGATTCTATTCAAAATTTGTGAGTGGGCGTTTTTGGGATCAAAAATTATTATTCCTTCGTCAAAATTCGGGAATTCAGGATAGTACATCCAATATTCGGACGAGTTTTGTAATCATGTTCCGATTCTATTCAAAGTTTTCATCTGGGGTTTTAAGAGTCGGATATTATAATTCTTTCGTCAAAATTGGGTAATTTAAGTGAAGTAAAGAGAGGTTGAAATAAATGGTAGTTTGAAAAACTAAAGAAACCCGCTTTTATAGATAGCGAAAAAGAAGTAGAAAATTGAATAATAATAGTGTCTTGATAAATACTGAACTGGAAAAAATATATTACAGAAATAATGTATATTGCAAAACAACGTTTGCGAGGTCTGCTAGTGTTATAAAACACTATATATATAGTTTTGGTGGAGTTGACCGAGGAGTTGACTGGAAGATTTCCATCCTGCCCTATTATCTTCACTCCACTGCATGATGGATCAACTCAGATGGTTTAATAATGAAAACTGTAGGTATCTAATGGAAGACTAACCAACTTTATCGCAATGTTTCATTAACAATTGCAAATTGTGCTTCTCCATGACTATGGCTTTGTTCAGCCACACAAGCATATCAGTCACGTAAATTTGCGAATCGTGGGCCCTCATCTCGATTGGAGCGGGATTACCAGAAGGACCTCCCCTAGTCAGGGCGTTGATGAAATCCTCAGTGACTTTACTTCTCCGGCAAACATTATATTCATCAATGACATACCTGAAATATAAATATTTTTTTGTGGACCTCTAAAAAAAATCACATTTTACGTTCTAATATCCGAACGAAAAACCGACTATTTCCGAAAGCAAGTACTTTTCGTCCGCAAACACTTTTCGTCCGCTGCAGGGTTGCCAGTTTTACTGAATTTTCAGTAGATCTCCTGGTTTGCATATTCATCTATTGATCTATTGAAACATTTCATCATCAACTGAAAAATGTTTTTACATTTATTTATTATAATGTTTACCTATATTACTATCAATCTAAATGCATGATATTTCGGCACACTCTGTTTAAATCAATTTTACGAAATAAGTAATAAATTTACATATTGATGGTACTTGAAGTATTAGCTGATCTCATCAATCAATCATTTCAACAAGGTGCCTTTCCTGAATTTTTGAAAACTTCAATAATAATTCCGCTACACAAAGGAGGAGATCCAGCTGATCCATCAAATTATCGACCAATATCTCTCATACCTACTTTGGCTAAAATAATAGAAAAATTGGTTCAGAAGAGAGTAGTGGAATTCTTACTTATGAATAATATCTTGAGTGAGAACCAGTTTGGATTTCAAAAGCACAAGAGCACCAATGATGCAATTTTTTCTTTTCTTACGAAGGTATATAATGAAATTAATGAAGGAGAGGCCGCCGCAGCAGTATTCTATGACTTATCCAAGGCATTTGACTGTGTAAGTCACGGAATTCTGCTGAGCAAACTCGAATACTATGGGTTAAGAGGAATCAGCAAGCAGTGGTTCAATTCATACCTAGAAAATCGTACACAAATTGTGAAAACCAACCACCTCTCTCGAAAGGAGGCAACTCAATGCGGGGTGCCACAGGGTTCCGTACTTGGCCCCACATTGTTTTTACTTCATATAAATGATCTCACAAAAATTAATATATCTGGAGAGTATACATTATTTGCCGATGATTCCACTATATTTTGGCATGACAAAGATGAGCATGCTTTACATCATAAGATACAAGTAGACATTGAACTGATTAAGACCTGGTGTGACGATAACTTGCTAGTCTTCAATGCCAAAATCTAATCTATTAACGTTCTGCTGCGAGCTTTCTGCCTCAACCTTAGGCACAAATATCATTGATAATGTCTCCTCCACAAAATTTCTAGGATTCCACATTGATAATAAGTTGAAGTTTAGCGACCATGTCACGAAATTGTGCAAAAAATTATCAACCGGATGCTTCGCAATTAGGATAATATCACGGGAATTGGACTTTACAACTGCTAAAACAGCTCATTTTGCTCTTATTGAATCTCACCTAACCTACGGCATTGCTTGCTGGGGAGTGTGCAACAAACAACTGTTACATATGGTGCAAGTTGTACAAAAAAGAGCCATTAGGGCTCTTTGTAAAGTAAAAACGCGTATTTCTTGCCGCGACCTTTTCAAAAATAATAGAATCCTCACTGTTACTTCAATTTTCATCTTAGAAACCACTTGCTTGATACACAAGAATCGTCACAAATATAATATAGTGTCGTCTAACCATAATACGCGATCATCGCACAAATTGAGATTACCTCTACCACTACACTACACTGTTTTACCACTAACCAAACCGATTTATTAACGCCTCGACACGTGTTTCGCTAACTATGTTAGCATCTTCAGGAGAAGATTAAATCTAAATATCCTATTCTAGTACGCTGCTTATATACTAGGTATATGTTCACTTCACCCGACTGTGAAAAATACTAACCTACTAGTATTTTTCACAGTCGGGTGAACATATACCTAGTATATAAGCAGCGTACTAGAATAGGATATTTAGTTTTAATCTTCTCCTGAAGATGCTAACATAGTTAGCGAAACACGTGTCGAGGCGTTAATAAATCGGTTTGGTTAGTGGTAAAACAGTGTAGTGTATTATCGTGCCAAAGGTTCCAGTCTTCGATATACCTCTACCACTACCTAAAAACAATCTTGTTAAGGAATCTTTCATTTATAATGGACTAAAAATTTATAATTGCTTACCAATACATCTACGAGAAATTCAATCATGTAGATTGTATAAAATAAAATTAAAAGAATTGCTATCCACTCATCCTCTTTACAACGTGGAGGAACTTTTTTGTAGTGAACCCTTATGTTAGCATTAAAATACGCTTGCCTCTATATGTTAGGATTGATTTCATATGTTTGCATCCTGTGGCTTCATCTGCACATTTTATTATATTATGTCTGTATTTGTACCATTACGTTCTTGATGTTTTTAATGTTTTAATTTTTTCAATGTTTCTAATATTTTCAATATTTTTAATATTTTTAACATTCTTAATATTTTACTTTGTAATACCTATACAATGACTTTGTCGATAAGAACTATTTCTTCTGACAATAAAGCATATTTGATGATGATGATGATGATATGTATAAACCAAAATAAGGACAATACTTTATCTGATTCAGATCAAATTAAATTCTTTATATACCTCTGTTTCTTTTTTTATGTTTGTTTTGTATTTTTGATGTTCATTTTTACTATTCCTTCCTGTTTTTATGTACCTATGTAACTGTATTTCGTGATATTTGTGAGTATTTTTGAATTGAGAATGTTTGTTTCTATTTTGTTGGTAATAGGTTACTCTTCTGTTTACTGAAATTACATAATATTTTGACGTCATTGATTTATTTCATTACCCTTTCTTTGAATTCGTATAGCATAAAATACATCTTAAACAGATCTATTGAAATCTACTGAATTTTTGACAAGGTTTTTGCTGATAAAAAAAACTGGCAAGCCTGGTCCGCGCGGAGAGTGAGTTGACAACAACTGTCATTTGCTGTGGTCAAATTATATATTCACGAAATCCGATAGATTTCATGTGTGAATAGGACCATGATGTGAATATGAGTGTTTGAGGTCGACGAAGAAATGTAATATTTACCTAAGGCCTCGGCTATCAATTTGCAGACTTTCGACTATAATAGACAGTGTGTCGTCTTTGGTACATAAATAACTATTTTGTATGTTCTTGCAAGAAGTTACTATTTTTGGCACTCTTTAGTAAAGTTTGATCATCTCATAATCTCATATAGACAAGGTATCATAGTTTGTAACTAGTTATATTTACAAAATAACCAAAATTATTCTAATACAGTTTCAGGAACTACATGATAATTATGATATAATTTCAAACATACATGGATTAATAAATGTATTTACCTGAACAGGACAGGTCTATCTTGCAGTCTGGCCATAGCTTGTGTTATCAAATCTGTAAGGTCTGAATTTTCCACATTTCTACAATGGTCTTGTGTCCATCTATATAACTTTTCCAAAGCACTTTCCTATGGGTGCAACCAGATATATTACTTATTAGTAGATTCATTTCCGTTTTTTCAATGATTTACAAGAAAAAAAAAATGCAAGGTACTGCAAAAAATTTATAGGAGCTGTAAATAATTTCAAGAAACTGTGAGGAATTGCAAGGAACTACAAAGAAATAGAAAAAATGTAACAAATGCTAACACACTGCAAAGAATTCCAGATTTTGAGACTTAAACAATTCCTAGGAAATACAAAGAATTACAAGGATCTATAAAGAATTTCAAGGCACCACAAAAAAGTTCAAGGAACTGTGAAGAATTTCAAGGAACTTTGAAAAACTGCCTGGGAATTCGGAGAATTACAAAAAACCCTGAAAAATGATGGCAAATTGTGAAGGATTCCTAGAATCTGCGGAAAACTACAAAGACCTGCAAATAATTTCGAAGGAAAGGAACTGCATAAAATTACAAGGATCTGTAGAAAACGAGGTAGAAAACTACGAGGAATCACAAAAAAGTCAAGGAACTATATTAAGAATTCCAAAAAAACTATAAGGCAACGGAAGGTACTGCAAAGAATTACAAAAAATTCTGAAGAATGCTGACAAATTGAGAAGAATTTCTAGAATCGTTTAATAATTACAAAGGCCTGCAAACAATTTTTGAGGCCTTGAAAAAAACATCAAGGAACTATAAAGAATTGCAAGGAACAACAAAGAATAAAAAAAAGTGAATAATGGTGACAAACTCCAAAGAATTCCTCGAACCTACCAACAATTCTAAAGACCTGCAAAGCATTTCTAAGGCCAATTATACGGAACTACAAAGAATTACAAGGACCTGCAAAAAAATTCACGGAACCACAATGAATGACAAGAAACTGTACAGAATTCCAAGGAGCTGCAAAGAGCTACAAAAAGTGAACAAAGCTGACAAACAAGACAACTTCAATGAGACTTCAGCAAATTTTGAAGGACTCAAAAAATCCTAAGGGACTACCTACATGGAAATACGAAGATCTGCAAAAAAAATTCAAAAAACTCCAAAAAATTCCAAAGAAACTGTGAAGAATGGGCGTGTCGTTAGGGACCTAAATTAATTTTTGCAACATTTCTCACGTTTTTTTTATGTAAATAATGAGTGTATGCGTTGTTCGAAATTGTTGAATTCCAGAGCTCATTTCAAACGTACCGTCATGGCCGCCATTTGGCCATGTTCTGTGATACGTCGAATAAGTGGTGACGTTAGTTTTTATGCTTTTTCGTAATTGGTCAGATAATCACGTACGTTACGCCGGCACGACCACTTCAACAAAATAAAAAAAACATTATACCAGAATTAAGTGCTTTTTAGTTGCTAATTTGTTCCACTTTCCAAAAATTTGTTGCTTATGCAGATATAGCAAAAATTGAGTCCATGTCAGCTTCACGAGAAGTTGGCACGGCAACTTTTACATTTTAACACGGATTTGGGAAACAAATATACCAAATTGTAGTGCTAATTTGTTGCTAATTTGTTCCCACTTTCAAATTTTTGTTACTTTTTTTTCGGAAATGATCATTATAGAAGATGTCATGCTAGACTAATTTTTCGAAAACTCCGTTAAATGACATAAAAACGCAAAAACGATCATGCCAGAATTTGTTGCTTCCTTGTGATTAATTTGTTCCCTCTTTAGAATTTTTGTTGCTCTTTATTTTTATTTTTGGAAACTATGGTGATAGAAGATGTCATGCTAGACTAATTTTTCGAAAACTCCGTTAATTGACATAAAAACGCAAAAACGATCATGTCAGAATTTGTTGCTTCTTTGTTATTAATTTGTTCCCTTTTTAGAATTTTTGTTGCTCTTTATTTTTTTTTTGAAACTATGGTGATAGAAGATGCCATGCTAGACTAATTTTTCGAAAACTCCGTTACAATTTGGTATACTTGTTTCCCAATTCGGAGTTGAAATGAAAAAGTTGCCGTGCCAACTTCTCGTGAAGCTGGCATGGACTCAATTTTTGCTATATCTGCATAAGCAACAAATTTTTGTGAAGTGGAACAAATTAGCAACTAAAAAGCACTAAATTCTGGTATAAATTTTTTTTGATTTTGTTGAAGTGGTCGTGCCGGCGTAACGTACAGGGTGGGCAAAATTGGGCGTTTTCACCGTCTATCTCAATAACTAGAGGAGTTATCGAAAAACCGATATACATGTTCCGGGTTCGATTTTGGAGAAACCTTGAATGGTACAATCAAAATTTCGATATCTTCATTCGTTTTAGAGATACAGGGGGAAAGTGGAAATTTGCCGATTTCGATTTTATGTTCTGACTACTTTACGGTGAGAGATATCAAAAAATTTCGAACGTATATTCATACAGTATGATGCGTGGAATCCATTGGCATCATCAGAAATTTTATACAGGGTGACGTTGAGAAGATACGGCAGCCAATTATGTTTTTTCTAATGGAACACCCCGTATATTTTGGCACAGTTGAATAGTCCCAGGCGTTCTCATTACAAATATATATACAGGGTGTAGATTTTTGTTCCTGGAAAAGAAGCCAGTGTTGATGAATTATTGTAAGTACATGTATAGGTAATCACCAACTTAAGTACCCAAGCTGCTCTGGAATTCAAAACTAGAATATTATAATTTTCTCGCCAGGTGTGATTAAGGTCTTCAGGGCTGCTTGGAGGAAATCCTAGATCAGAAAATTATTCTTGGTACCATTCCCTGTTTGTTTTGGTACTATATTGTATCTGTCTTCTGTCAATGTTGTCAATAACTTCATCAACACGCCCATTGCTAAGCTGATTTCTGAAATGCATAGTTGCCAGATTCTTTTCACCAATTCCTAGGAATGACGTCTAAATCTGGTACTTCTCAGTGCAAATATTCCAAAGAATAGTACTGAAATGGGACATCATGATTGGTCGATTCACTCACTTCGACAATGCAATGGTTCTAGAAGATACACCTTTTTGTTTTACAACTCGGGTTTCCTCTTCAACAAAGGAACAGACATTCCAGAACAGTCGCGGATCATCCTGGATCATGACGTAGTTTCCCTTTCCGGGAAGTACTATAAAAGTGGTTTTCAGTGCCGGTTGGAGCACTTTCGATCTGGTTCTTGAGTCAGCAGTGTGCTCGAGTTTTTTTTGTTAGTGGTAGGTGAGGAGTTTACAGGATATTCCTGGATTTTGAGATTGGGTCCCATGCGAGGACATCGATAGCTCCATTTTCACCGCACTCAATCGAGTCAACCTGGAATTTTGGAATTTTACCGGGAAGCCTGAAGCTGTCCAGGATATCGCACATCGACACGTGGTCTGCTCTGGAACGTGCTCTGCTACTGCTGTTTCTGAGGTGTTAGAAACCCTTCTTAGAAGGTGAGTCCTGATTCAAAGTTATCTCCAACGTCCCACCATCCAGTTTTTTTTATTGTGTACTGGATCCTTTTTTTTTGGTCATAGGGTTTTACGGTAGGGTTAAATCCCTTCAAGTTCATTTGTCCTCGCGTCTCTTGGTTGGACTGGATTCTGGGTCATACATTACTCCCACTTTCACGATGCGGCTTGTCTGGATGTCGCCATCATTAGGTAACACTCATTACCTAGGCTCCGAAGGCTCCTCCACCATCGACGACTCACGGCTCTCAAGTGATGGTCAACCATTGCCGTTTGTCTTAAGATTGCCATCAGAAACACCGTCTGGGAGAGATCTCCTGGGTCTATCCCTCCAGGAATGTTTCGCGTAGGTCACGTGGTTGTCCGAACGTAGTGGATACGTTCCTATGGAGAATGCTGCAGCAATGAAATTGCCGGTAACCATTTAACAGTTATCTATGCTACTTCTATTATATTATATTTCGGGTATATTTTTTTTTCCTGGTGACAGGTCAGTTTCCTTATGCAGGTTGGTAATGTGAAATAATGTGTATTGCTAATTTTTTTATATATCATTGTACAACTTGATACCGCTGAAACATAGTACTATGCGGACGCCAATTTAAGTGAGTTTTGACATCACAATACATAATATTATCATGCAATACAGGAAATTGATGATCAATTTTCTTGAAAGAATAGATGTTTCAATTTTTTGTTCAAATAGCTGTTTATTCATAATTTGCTGTAGTGTTTTCCATACCTTATTTGTTATTCTCCATAAGTTTTAGTTTTCTTCTCAAACCTCAACCTGTAGGATTTCACTGAAATATTATCTCCCCTTTATTTTGGATACAATGAAATTTAACAACACTATATATTATCATTTTTGCATATCTCACGACAATAAATAAGTACCTCATGAGTAATCGTTGATGCATTTAAGTCTATCAACACTGTATACTTGATCAATACACTTTTCATGACTATTATATAAATATCTCATTGATATTGAACAACATTGTATATTATCAATATGTTTCTCATGACTATTACATAAATTCTCATCAATAATCTTGATGCATTTAAGTCTATCAACACTGTATATTTGATCAATACACTTTTCATGACTATTATATAAATATCTCATCGATATCTTTAGTACATTGAAATTAAACAACATTATATATTATCAATATGTTTCTCATGACTATTACATAAATTCCCATCAATAATCTTGATGCATTAAAGTCTATCAACACTGTATGTTCAAGATAATCGTGGCTATATTCATTAATTTTGGTGAAATTTAATAGGGCTCTGTATATACTTGTATATAATATATTGGATTTTGTTGTTATGTCCTGAGTTTTATTTGTGAAATGCTGAACATTCACCATAATGACTAATATCAATTAATTCTTATATATCTTCCCAATTTTCCATACATTTTTCAAATGTTCTATATGGTTCTCAACTTTCCATTATAGCTTCTGAAGTGAAGATATTTATTTTTTTTTAAGTTGAGTGGCGCCTGACATTATCAATTTTTAAATTTCAAAATCAATAAATGAATAACGAACTCATAGTGCTCACTGATGAAAGAGTTGCCGTTCGCAAGTTAATCTTTTTTCATGATATAATTCCAAAAGAAAAGTAAAGGTTACAATATATTCAGTGTGTCACATTTCTTATGGTTACACCCCCGTATCTTCTGTAAAAATAATTGATGGAAACATTAACAATCATAATATTTTGTGGCAGAATGCCTGAATATGATACTTTACCCATTATTTCTAGTATGCCTTAATATTTTTGCGTTCAAAGAGATAATAAATAAGATATATATTTGAAATTGAAACGGGAACTTTGAACAATGATATCAAATCGAATAATTTCCCATTTTATTTCTAACCAAATATCCATTTATCTGGAAATTACATTCCCTATGATATTTATTTTCCACATTTGGTGAATATATACAGAGTGTCATTTTCAACCTCGATTCTGCCTGTTGATAGCATTATCCAGAAATATTAATGATTCCATAGCTGCTGGCGAGCAGTGTTATCATTGGAGATGATCCCACTTGGTCCATGACTCCATGAGTGTATCATTTGTATCTTTCTGACAGTTGCGAATTTTTGAATCCTACCTCAAATATTTTTACAGAAGATACGGGGGTGTAACCATAGGAAATGTGACACACTGAATATATTTTTGCGAATATATCTGAAATTGTGGAAGGAAAAGGTAGGGTTATATATATATTTGTAATGAGAACGCCTGGGACTATTCAACTGTGCCAAAATATACGGGGTGTTCCATTAGAAAAAACATAATTGGCCGCCGTATCTTTTCAACGTCACCCTGTATAAAATTTCTGATGATGCCAATGGATTCCACGCATCATACTGTATAAATATACTTTCAAAATTTTTTGATACCTCTCACCGTAAAGTTGTCAGAAAATAAAATCGAAATCGGCAAATTTTCAATTTCCCCCTGTATCTCTAAAACGAATGAAGATCTCGAAATTTTGATTGTGCCATTCGAGGTTTCTCCAAAATCGAACCCGGAACATGTATATTGGTTTTTCGATAACTCCTCTAGTTATTGAGATAGACGGTGAAAACGCCCAATTTTGCCCACCCTGTACGTCAGATAATCTTCCATCGCCACTCATGAAGCAAGGTTGTCTAGTCACCAATTATAATCAAGTAATCGGGAAGATATTAGAGTCCTGTTGTATAGAATAAAACAGGAAATAAAACATAATAGGAGGAAGTCATTATATTTTAGTTCAATCTTGACTTTTTTGAGCAACCACCATGTCCAAATATTTCTTATACTTCATAACGAAATATCATGTAGATGTCTAAGACTTGGCAACAATGTGCTGAATGCTGAGAACCGACAAGACACCGCCCACAATAATTCCTGCGCATTTCCGTTTATCCGTTCAAATGTCCTCTAGTGTGAATTAATATAATAATCATTATTTAAAGAAATGTATTATAAGCAATAAGCCACAACACATGTGGGAAAATTTTGAGACAATTGATTTTTTATTCATAATTAGGAATATTACCAATACATAATTGAGAGTGTTGAAAAGGAATATTCTCAGATGAATTATGAACATACAAAAAAGGATATATATTTATATAAAGCAATACATTGAGAATTCGCATTCTCTATGTGATGAGAATATTTACTCTTTCTCAGGTGATTCAATAGAAAAAAACTACTTTCCTGGCTATATGCCACGACGAACATTGAATTATATCTATTGAACACACACGATAAGAGTTTGAAAATAAAATATAAGAATTTCTGAAATTGAGAATTTGCATTCTCCTTCAGACAAAAATATGTATAACACACATCATTCTGAATATTCAACAGAAAACAACTACTTTCCTAGCTATTTGCCACGTCGAACATTGAATTATATCTGATGAACATTCAAAAGGGAACATGAAAAATAAAGAATAAAATCCTCCGAAATTGAGGATTGACATTCTTCTTCAAATCGGTTGAATAATATGATGAATAATGATATAGGAATATGACTTACCAATATATTCAGCATTGAAATGAAAATTGGAATGTATAGGAGAAGTATACTGGCATGAACTCTGTCTGATCTTGATGAGCTTGAAAACTTCCAAAAATAATCATTCATATCAGTGATATGGAAAATATCATCTCACACACACAGGTTATATGACTTTATTGCAATGAAACCATTTCGATTCTCTGAATCCTCATCAGTAACCTGATATGAATGATTATTTTTGGAAGTTTTCAAGCTCATCAAGATCAGACAGAGTTCATGCCAGTATACTTCTCCTATACATTCCAATTTTCATTTCAATGCTGAATATATTGGTAAGTCATATTCCTATATCATTATTAATCATATTATTCAACCGATTTGAAGAAGAATGTCAATCCTCAATTTCGGAGGATTTTATTCTTTATTTTTCATGTTCCCTTTTGAATGTTCATCAGATATAATTCAATGTTCGACGTGGCAAATAGCCAGGAAAGTAGTTGTTTTCTGTTGAATATTCAGAATGATGTGTGTTATACATATTTTTGTCTGAAGGAGAATGCAAATTCTCAATTTCAGAAATTCTTATATTTTATTTTCAAACTCTTATCGTGTGTGTTCAATAGATATAATTCAATGTTCGTCGTGGCATATAGCCAGGAAAGTAGTTGTTTTCTATTGAATTACCTGAAAAAGAGTAAATATTCTCATCACATAGAAAATGCGAATTCTCAATGTATTGCTTTATATAAATATATATCCTTTTTTGTATGTTCATAATTCATCTGAGAATATTCCTTTTCAACACTTTTATACCCAATCAGGGGGTTCAAACTTGAACGATGGAAACTTGTGATTTTTATAGACCTCTAATCGCAGATTCGTGATAGAGTCTCAATTCAGAATTCATTTCCACGCCCTGTATGATGAATGTCAATTTATCATACACCCAAAAACATAATTGAGAATTTATGAATTATTGAATAACTATTATTTCTGAAGTTCCCAATCATATTTCAACATATGGCAACTGTGCTATGGTCTGCCCCTACTTACGAAATCGTGACGTCAGATTTTACTCGCGGTAAATTCCTAGCCGTTTGAAAATCGCCGTGGCATTATTGATTATTATAGCACCTTAAAACCGACCGAAAAATTCTAGAAAATATGAGATTGAAAGGTAGTTTACTGATGATTACATTTAAGAAATTTAAAGAAAATCAGTCCACTTGCCTATTGCAAGAAACTGTGAAAAATTGCATGGAACTGCAAAGAATGCTAAGCAACCTCAAACAATTTCAATTACCTGCAAAGCCTTCTGAAGGGCTTAAATATCCAAGGGAAGAATAACAAGGATCTGTATTATTTGTAAAGCATTCCAAGAAACTTCAATGAATTGGTAATAATTCCAAGGACTTGTGAAGAATTTCTAGAAACTGAAAGACCTGCTTCAAAGTTTCCAATTCTCCCAAAAAATTGTAGCAATTTTCATTCCCTGTCTTCACATTAGGGTTATCTTGGACAGCTGTTGCAATTTTGCAGAAATATTGCAGGAAATAGGCAAGGGGTAAATCTCCAGGAAAAATGTATACACCAGACTTCCAATTACCAAAGACTTCCAAAAACTTCCAAAGACTCCCAAAGACTTCCACAGACTCCCAAAAACTTCTAAAGACTTCTAAAGACTCCAAAGACATCCAAAGACATCCAAAAACATCCAAAAACATTCAAAGATGAAGAATTCCAAAGAATTCCAAAGACTTCCAACGGAGTGTACACCAGACTTCCAAGGAGATTTACCCCTCGGAAATGGGTGCCGACCTATTTTCATTGTGGCTATTCATATTGCTGGTTATTCTAGTTATGAAATCATTAGATGCAAATTGAATGTTCCTGTTCTCAAGGTTTGTTCTAACCAACTCAAAACTTGATGAAAAGCAAAACACAGATTACTTGAAGAAGAGACATTGCAACACAATCATTCTGAATCAGTGTAAAATAGCTTGCATATTATTATTGCCAGAACTATGGATTCCAAAGTATTTCAAGGACTGCACAGGATTCCAAAGTAACACAAATATTCCTTTATGAAACTTCAGAGCATTCTCAAGAGCTAAAAAAACATATCCAAGAAACTGCTGCTAAGTTTTGTGCTATTTCTAGGAATTCCAAATTCCAAAGAATTTGAGCTCTTCATATGCCTAAGACATCCCCAAGAATACTTAGAGGTTCCAAGAAACTCCAGAAGAAACTCAGAGGAGCACATGGGATTTGAACATAGCCACATCCAAAATGGCCAATTACAAAATACCATTTCCATATTAATCCCAAGCAATAAGTAGGTACCAGCAAATTATATGATATCTCAGAGAACTACATTATAAGGATCTCTCTTGGAATTCTATTTCTTTATACTCCAGAATTTCACCATTATTCTAAAAGTAGAAAACAGTTCTCAGAATATCAATATTTTCAAAGAATAGGATTTTATAAAATTCTGTTATTCATTAAAAATAAATGTAGAGTACTTATTGCTTAGATCATCAAAAGGGATTTGTTGTTCAGAGACTTATTGTATCATCATCATTATATTATAATGTACCATGTACCTGATATAAAGTCATTTGTTCCATGATATCTAATGCCAAGGTCTGGAGCCCATATTGCATCAAAATTTTGCACTCATCATGTATACCTTGGACTTTATCAAGCACTGCAAATATATCATTGGTCATAAGAAATTCTTTCTTGCTTCCCTGGAAAACTGATATATCTTCTGGAGACAGCTGGAATCTGCCTATAAGGGCATCTAGGATTTTCTGTTCAGAAATATTATGATCCCTGAATAATGGAAAATGTATAATTATGCATAAGTATACATCCAGTTTAAAAAAATTAATAAGAAAATTAGAAATATGCATGTAGTTTCTTGAAACTAATACACTTCTACTTATATATAAAGAATCTAATAAGCAAATACCAAAAATACCAAATACCCAACTGACCTTTCTTGTTGTAGCTGACTAGAAATATTCAAGAGTTGCTTTGTTTGTATTTTAGAATTATGGAGCCGCTTTGTCATGTCCTTTATTGAATCATTCATTTCTGCAACATCTTTATAAACAATATCAAATGATTCTTTAACTTCTGAAAAAGAAGCAAGGAACTGTTGATTTATGTCTAAACTTCGCTTTTCTATCTGGCTTCTCAGGTTTCTACGAGCTTGCAAGCTGTTTTCTGTATAGAAAGTTGACAATTGCTTCAGTGCATCTAAAGCTTCCTGAATGAATAGAAAAATTAAAATTATTAATCTTATATTATATGATTCTCTCTCATTACCTGGTCAGTTTCGATTCTAGTTTGGATAATTTTACTCAAACGTTTTGATAAAATATGATCTGTCTGGACATCCTCAGTATTTCTATATTCTTTATCCATTTTTTGAGTTACTGATTCCATGGGCAAAATACTGAAGACAAAAAAATGCAAACATCAGCAAAACCTCAAGGAAAATCTAAACACGAAATTGAGGTTAAGTTAACATTAGCACCAATGACACAGAACTACAGAACATAAGAAACACATCACAAAACACATAATAGTTTCATGACTCCGAGTATGTTCCGATATTCCCGAACAAGTACTGCCCGGTATATTTTACTGTTCCGATTTTACTAACATTATTTACTGGCAACATTTTCGCGGATAACCATGTTTTATAGTCCAAGAGCCTGCTGCAAATTTCGACCGTCATCTGATAACGAAATGATATAATATATGTCCCAAAGGCATGTAAAAATATTGTATTCCATCGAACGGCACCTGTGCCAATCATTCTCCTGAGCAAATAGCACTTTCCTGTGCGGTAATTTGCACTCAATTTCGCGATTAGATAACGATCGAGATGAGAATTATGCCATCCGGTACCAATTTAATGAGGTAGATCTCGACATAATACCTGTGCCACCCTAATATATGGGCCAAATCCCCGGCACATCGATTTATTTGTTGTCATTATCACGGACATATACTTCCGTCATGTGATAACGAGCAAATGAAAGGGGATTATATCCCATTTGCGAATATCCAAACCTGCCGCGACTCAAACTGATTTAAGTCAGTGGCAGAGCGTCAATATTATATTTACGAGAATATTTCGCCCCTCTCTATGATAATATCCGATGGACCAGTGTGGAACTCAACATGTGGATTAGAATACTTGTAGTGCGAGCACCACATTAGTTGAACACTGGTTCATCGGATATTACCTTTTGTCGGGGCTAAATATCCTCGGAAATATTGACGCTCCTGCTTTGTATCACGATAAACTACTTTGCATATAATCGTGTGGCGAGCATATGCATGCGCTGTATGGTATTTTTTTAAAGATACACTTTCATTGTGATTACAAAAAACGTGCACGAAGAACAATATGTTATGAGGTTAGTTTTCTTGTAAAATAATCCTAATATGATTTCATAAAAAATTTACCCCACTTCATTTTAATAAGAACGCAATAATAAGGCACTGTCCAAAAGGATGTTCGTCTTTGAAAAACTGATCATATTGATAGTTATTCATACTGGTCTGAATTTGGTACGAATCTTCACGACTAATAACTGAGATCATCCTTTACTGAGATATAGAGAAAGGAGGGCGTTTGATATGAGACATATGCTGTAGAATCGTTAATGTTTAATATTTTTCTATGCAACTTGATACAGATCTATTCCAGAGAGGACACCAATTCCATTGACATACGTGTTTTTTTTTTCTAGTAGGTCTTGGTTAAAAAAAAATGCCGCTTAGCTGCAAAATACAATTCTCCTCTCTCTACATTTCGAAACAAAAATCGAGAAAATCGCTCTATAAATAGAAAATTTATGAGGTTGGCCCGTTAGCAAATGGAACACTGTATACAGGGTGTATCTGAATAACACCGAGAAAATTCAATGGGCGAATCCTTGTGCTATTTCAGGAAATAAAGTTCATATGAACATGTTTCCCAACTTGTTTCGTTTTCGAGATACAGGGTATCAATACTTACATGAAAAATAGTTTTTTTATTCATTACTCAATTGTCTTTGGATCAATTTCAATAAAAAACGTTGTGGTAGTGATTGTGGTAGTAATATGGAGCTTCTTCTGGTGCAATATCAGATTCGAAATAATATTTCCAGTGGCATCACAGTGGGTAAATTCATCAATATATTTATAGCGAATAGTTTCATATTTTTTTCAGATTGAACTATTGAAATAATACTTTTTTTTATCCTTTGTATGATTTAAGTATCTATCTACGAAGGCCTGGATGGGACACATAAAATAAAAAAAATAAAAACTCTTCAAAATTCTGAGTTATAACTCGGAATTTTAAAATTCCGTGTTATAACTCGGAATATTGGATGTAAAATTCCGAGTTATAACTCAGAATTTCGAAGAGTTTTTATTTTTTTTATTTTATGTGTCCCTTCCAGGCCTTCGTATCTATCTTATTTTTTGAGGAAACAATAAAAATTTGATTTGACTCCAAATTTCACTGGTAGGTGTTTTCAAGACTTCCATTGAGATTTACTCCATAACCCCAATCACAATCATCTTGAAATTTTAGGGATTCTCCGGCAGTCTCCAACCATACTGAATTTTGGCACTATGAAAGCTTATATAGGGAGGTTATAAATAAAAACAATTCATACTTCCAACTTCAAAATCCTGTATCTCAAGAACGGAGCAAGTTGGGATACTTGTTTATGTGAACTTCATTTGCTAGAATATCACAAAAGGAGTCACCCCTTGAATTTCTCGGTGTTATTTAAATACACCCTGTATAATTACTTATACTTATGCTCCAGTCCCTATCTACCAATCCATATCCTCAAAAAATTGATATCTACCTACTTTACCCGTAGGTACAGGGTGATTCACCATAAATGTCCCCCCTTGAACCGATTTGAGGATTTGAAAAATCATTTGAAATGATTTTTCATATTTTTTTCACGTTATCAGAAGATATATACATACATGGTGCTGGAAACGATCTACAGCGTAGGTACTAATTAATTTTTTTAAATGGGACACCCCCCTTATGTTTCACTCCACAATCATATAGAGATTTCAACAATTGATCCAAAACAATACAGGGTATGATGGGGTTGTGTCAAACGACGACAACGCTATAGCCGATTTTCTGATATACAGGGTCCTGCATCTCACCTCCCATCTTCAATAGCTATCGGATATTAGTTGAGACAGGATTTTGATATTTTGCCGACTTCAACTGTCTCATAGGGCGCATACCAGGAACATATTTTCGATCATACAGGGTGTCCTAGAAAAGTGTGAAGTCATAATGATATATTTTTTCAAATTGCACATATATGAGTACGATCCTGTGAGAATAAATTGTGCGGACTTTGTGGAACTATATCAATTCATGGACTATGGAGCGATATAAGTTCACATTTCCAATGGTACCGCTGATATGACACTGAATATGGAGATGCTGTCATGAAAATTCTACTAACACACAAGGGTGTGGTTTCCGATCGACTTGCCATGTTGAATGCTCTGAACTTAAACGATTATAGCCTCAATGTTTTTAACATAGCCATCCCAGATAGCACAATTATGTCCCATGGATATCCTTAGGACGTCCTGTCGGGACATTCAGGACGTCCATAGGACGTTCGAATTTGGTACCGTGTGCGTCCATTGGACGTCTGTGGGACGCACAAATGTCCCACTTGAGGACCACTTAGGGACGTCCTTGAGGGCAACCTTTCAGCAACGCTGAGGGATATCACTTGGATGGATGTCCATAGAATGTCCATAGATATCAACTATGGATATGGATAAGAGATAGTATACCCTATATATAGAAAAAATCACAAAAATTTGGAAGCACTCACGTCTCACTGCGTTCGAATAATGTAGTTGTCAGTTCTTATGCATCGTCAAGTCACTTCACTTCAAATTAATAAAATATGAGAACAAATTGACATTATTTGACTATTCCAAGGTTCATCAGTTCCACTACCTATCATTTTGTTATGTCATGCTTTCATTATAGATTCTAACTATTAACTCTTGAAAAGTAAAATCCCACGTACAACTTCGGTTTTTGTGGGCTATCTATGTTTATTTATTTATCCATCACACCCAATTCATTGGGTTTTTTTTTTATCGCTTGGAGCGCACGAAAGGGAATCCCTATAATGTTCAAAGAACATCGTGCGTTCCTAGGAAGGATAGGGACAGGAGGTAGGTATTGGAATTTTTTTTGAATTTTTGGAGATTATATGTTGATGGGAATACTTCCACAGGCAATGAATTCCAGAGCCTAGCCGTTCTATGGATGAAGGAGTCTTGATAAAGTGCTGTTCGACATCTTTCGAGGTTGACAACAAAAGGATGTGCTGACTGGGCTTTTCTAGTTCGTCTGATTGGTATTGCTAGTGAAGGGATGATAGCAGAGATTTCCGAAGAACATTTCCCGTGGAAGTATCGATAGAAAAGTGAAAGGCCGCCGACCTTTCTACGGTGTTCCAATGATGCCAAAGAGTGAGTGAGTGTGACGTCACCCACCAGGCGAATGGCTCTTTTCTGGATGGAATCTAAGAGCATCAGCGTATGTTTTGGTGCTGAACCCCATATGTGGGAACAGTATTCTAGAACAGGCCGTATCTGCGCTTTGTAGATCATGAGAAGCTGTTGAGGTGTAAAGTAGCTTTTCGCACGGAACAAGAATCCGAGTTTTTGTGAAGCAGCTTTTGCGATGGATCTGACATGATTATCCCATGAAAGAGTATTGCTGATGGAAATACCGAGCATAGATATGGTGGGCTTGGTGGGGATGGTGGAGCCAGACATTACAATATCGGGCATACTGAGTTCCGCCTTTCTAGAGAAGATGCAGGCTTGAGTTTTGGTGGCGTTGAATTCAACTAGGTTGTTTGTTCCCCAGGCTGTGATTTTTGCAAGATCTTCATTGACAGCATTGACCTGCCTGCGCCGTGAGTTCTTAGTTTCCTGGGAAGAAATGGGAATTCTGGAAGAGAACGCAGTATGGAGGGTACTATCATCTGCAAAGCTGTGGATGGGGCAAGTTGTTACTCCCAACAGATCATTGATATGAAGCAGGAATAATGTTGGTGCCAAAATTGATCCTTGTGGAACGCCGGAATTGATGCCAATGGTATCAGACGATACACCGTCCACCACCACGTGAAGCGATCTGCCTGAAAGAAAACTCGATAAGAGATGGCATAGCTGAGGTGGTAAGCCGTATGATGGTAGTTTGTGGAGGAGTCCTTCGTGCCAAACACGGTCAAATGCTTTCGATATGTCCAACGCGACAGGTAGGGATTCCCCGTGTTTTTCTATTGAAGATTGCCATAAATGGGTGACGTAGGCAAGTAGATCTCCAGTAGATCCTCGGTGGCGAAAGCCGTATTGTCTAT